AGGAATCCTGAACGGCTCTTTTAAACAGTGACATCGGTCTCCATCTTAGAGAAACCAGGCCAAGTGTCTGAAAGCGGGAATGCGAGGGGAAAGCTGCATCATTCCGGAGCGCGGCTCGAAAATGCACGGCATTGCGTCAGGGTAAACACAAAACCACCTTTGCTCGAGAGAAGTCAGCGAACCAAGGCCCAAACAAGCAGCCCCCGGCTCCCTAAGGCATGTGTTTCCAGACAGACCTTTCTGACAGCCACCCCCCCACCCCCGCTCCGCTGTCATTCGCGGGAAGCCCCCAAAATGCTGAATCTTCATGGTGAACCCAACAAGGTGGAGCTGGATGTCCAGGTCTCCCCAGGGCGGGAAGATGGAACGGTCCCCACTGGGCAGGTCTGGGAGGCAAGCACGCTCAAGCGGCAGGATGTCCCCCCCCCCCGCCCCCGTCAACTTGCAGCTACCTAGGGCTGGCTTTTTTTTTGAGGTTTTCTGCTTTGAAAAAATATACAGAGGGTCTAATTTCAGATCAGCCAGATGCATCCCCCAATACAGTCCCCCTGTGACTTCCATTCCTGGGACGCTGGTCCCCCAGCAGCAACCCTGAAGAAGGCGGCTGCCACGGGACTCCTGGAGCTGACGGGGCCACTCACCTGCCTTCCTGGCGTCTGCTCGTTAAAAAGGACACAGTCTAGTTTACTAGGGTTCACCAGACGCTCTACGGATCTGCCGCACCAGCTCTTTCATTAGGGAGTGTCACTGTCGGACGTCAGAAGCAATTGGTGAATGAGACGCGCCCCATGAGGGTCGAGTTTGGAGGCAGGGAGTCCATTAGTCTATTAGGGCGTTTTCAGCTCAGTGAGAGAGGCTGAATTATTCACGAGCGTCTCTTCCCCTAAAAGCCCGGGAAATGCAGTTCTGCGGTGCAGCCTGGCAAGGCCCGATCCTGGCACATGGGGCTGGGAGGGGGGCGCTGACTGGGGTCCGGACCTTCCTGTGGGCACACTCCCTCACCAGCCCTCCACTGCCCCCCCGAGCGCCAGAGACATGGGCCACAGGTGGGGAGGGGCAGGCCGTGCTTTGGTTATTCGAGGCCAGGACCCAGGGCTCGCAGCTCTGCCCACCATGTTCTGTGTCTGCAGTATGGGGCTGGGGGTCCGTGGAGGATGTGACCACCACCCACAATGAGGGGGTTGGGGTCTGGTAAGACCTACCCTCAGCAATGCAGACGGACGTCCCTCCTCCCTTCTGCTGGGACGTGACCCAGATTGGTATATCCTATGCTGTTAGTACCTATAACTGGCCAGAAGGTTCTGGAAGTCTGCTATTTCAACACCACACCACCACTCCCTCCAGGCAGGGGTGCAGGGACCCTTCCTCACAGGACACATTCTGACCCAGCTTTGGAAGATGCTTTGAGGCTGAACTCAGGGCTGAAGCTATGCTGAGACCCCATTCCAGGGTCACAACCTCAGGGGCCCTCCTTGTCATCCTAGGATCCCAAGGAAGTCTCAGCACGACCCTCTCTTCCAGCAGGAGGGATTCCGGATGGAGGCTGAGTGGATTCTCCCATAACAAGCGTGCAAACAGTGGACGCTACCGGGGGGGGGGGGAGTCGCTATCCAGACCCGCGGTAGAAAGCAAACAAAATGGGACGTGGGGTGCAGAGCCTAAGGAACCGGCAGCAAATCGTTACCAGGAAAGACCCCAGTGATGGAACTGGGACGGTTGCTGTCAAAGGCACAAGCCCACCATGTCAGGTCCCTGGTCTCTATGTCACTGCTGGGTGGTGGCCTCAGCCTGACATACTCTGACACCCCGTCTCCTTTTCCTGGGCTCTGCACCCCTGTCAACTCCACATCCCTCTCAGCACCAGCCATCAGGCACCTGGAGGACGGGGCTCCTGACTTCCTGTTCTCCTGCCCTGCTCCCTTTACTCCTCGTCCTGTGGCTCCTGGGGCTCAGCCCTTCTCCATTGTTCCTGAGCTCCCTGCATCCAGCCTTTCCACCTGCCGTCTTATTACCTCCCCCAGTGGAGCTCTGATCTCTGCCCTGCTCAAACACCATGGACGGCTCCCCAGTGCCCACTGAATGTAGTCCAAGCTCCTTTGCTTGGCACTCAAGGACCTTCCCTACCTGACCTCCATCTTCCTCTATAGACTGGCCTCCTGTCACTGTCCATCCCGCCCCCCACCACCTCTTGTTCTTGGCACCTCTCCAAGCTGTGGCTCAGGCATCCACTGGAATGTTCCTCCTGGGCTCTACGCTGAAGACTGCCCAGCCTCCAAAGCCCCCTCAAAGCCCTCATGCTGTCTCCTCCACGAAGCCTTGCCTGACTCACAGTGGGCGGTGCTCACTCCTTCCTCAGAACGCCAACGGCTGTCTGGACTTCTCCCACAACAAGTTCCGCCTTCCAGATATTATTAGTTATTTGGGTTCTGGGGTAGACTGTGTTATGGTTCCAGGGCCTTTACCCCTCTCTGCATCACCTGACTATGGTTCTCCTAATGGGGGTGGGGCTATATTTTCCTGCCCTTCGACATCTGGTGTGGTCATAAGACTTACTTTGGCCAGAAGTATGAACAGGAGGGCCAGTGGGCCGCTTCTAACTGTGGGCCTTCAGATGCATGAATGTGCGCCTGTTCTTCCTCTGGCGCTTTTGCCTGGAACAGCCTCTGGTTGAAAAGGACGGGAGGGGGCGCCTGGGTGGCTCAGTCCTTAAGCGTCTGCCTTCGGCTCAGGTCATGATCCCAGGGGTCCTGGGGTCGAGCCC